ACCGATCGGTATCCTTTCCTCTCTAACTGGCCATCTTGAGACTGAGATGCCGTCCAGTCTGGCCATGGCCCATTCGGGCCCTACATCAGGGCAGGCGACAGAGAGTGAACCTTCGGAGCCAGAACCACCTCCGCAATCTCCCAAGAAATGGAAGGAGAAAAAGCATATATCACCACCCACTTTTACGAGGGGATGCTGATAAGTATTGAGCCTTACCCAGAAAAAAATTGAACTAGGAAGCTGTAACTGCCACACTATTCTACATACAGTGGTGCCTCAACTTACGAAATGAATCTGTATTGGAACGGTGGCCGTAAGTCGAAATTTTCGTTAAGTTGAAGCACCATTTCCCATAGGAATGCATTGAAAACCAATTAATCTGTTCCGGCTGAAGAAAAAAATTACCAAATAAAATACTGTACTGTAAAAACAGAACAGTTTTTTAAAAGCAAAAGGCAGCACCTTACCCTGCTGCCGCCGCCCACCGCCACTGCCAGGAAGCGAGCCACTGAACCTGCAGCGGCGGAGGCAGAGGGCAGCGGGGGCGACTTTGGAAACCTGGGAAGCCAAAAGCTGCCCTGACCGCCACGCCAGGTGCCGGCTTCCCGGGTTTCCAAAGCACTGGCACCTGGTAGGGCCGCGTTGGAAGTCCAGGAGGCTGAGCCTCCCTTTTCGTAACCGTTGGGGCGAAGAAGCAGCCTCTTTGCCATCAACAGTTTGAATTTCCCGCCCTTTCCCCCTGCCTGTTTCTTTTCGTAAGTGAAAGCTCACTCCACCAGAGTGCTGTCCACCTCGATTGCCTTTCAGCGTGGTCCTGAAGTTCCTGACATCTGCCGTGCTACAACATGGTCCACTGCATCGATCTTTGTCAGGCATTATCGCTTAGATGTGAGAGCACGCAACGATGCTGGATTGGCATCCAGCCTACCGTGACGTCTCATCTTGCCAGTAAGTGAAGCTTGCTAGTTACCCATTTGTGTGCATTCACAGAGGCCACAAAGAAGAAAAAGAGGCTACTTACCTGTAACCACAGTTCTTCGAGTGGTCCTCTGTGAATTCACACTACCCACCCATCCTCCCCTCTGTCGTCATGGGTATCTTATTTATTATGTAACACCTGTGCCCGCCAGACAAATTTTAGGAACTGAGGGGAATCTTGGGAGGAACATGTGCCTCATTTTTTACTTTTAGCTCTAGAATCTTCCGAGAATGTCAGCACAGGCGCAGACAAGACCCATTTGTATGCATTCACAGAGGACCACTAGAAGAATACGGTTACAGGTGAGTAACCTCCTTTTTATTCTGCACTGCATAGCTCTGTGATGTTGACCAATGAAGATTGTGGGTTGAAAGCTAGCTTCACTCTGTTTCAGTAAATATCTGAAACTTATTGAATAAATAGGATAAGCTCCATGTCACTGAAATGTTACAATTTTCAGTGGATGGCAGGAAACGGTACAGTGGTGCCTCGCATAACGATTTTAATTGGTTCCAAAAAAACCCGTTATGTGAAACATCGTTATGCGAAACACCATTTTCCATAGGAATGCATTGGAAACCGGTTAATCCGTTCCAATAGGCACGGATTGCCGTCCTTAAGCGAAAAAACCCATAGGAAACATCGTTTAACGATACAATGTTTCCTCCATTGGAATGTATTGAAGCTGACTCACTCTAAAATGGATGCAAAAGTTAATTTGGCTTTGATCTGACTTTTCGTTAATTTATGGTGAATTTTTCCCCCCAACTTTTGACAGCTGTCAAAATCTGACAGCTCCATTATTTCCTATGGGGGAAGACAAAATTCACAAAAAATTAACGAAGACTCAGCAACTGTTCTAAATGCTTGGGTTCGTTAGAGGACCCCCTAAGTTGTGTGCAAACCTGATTTGGCTTTGATCTGAACTTTCGTTAATTTATGGTGAATTGTTTTCTCCCCCATAGGAAAGCATGGAGCTGTCAGATTTTGACAGGTCCATTGGTTCCTATGGGCCGAAAAAAAATTCACCAAATTAACGAAAAGTCAGATCAAAGCCAAATCAGGTTTGCACATGACTTAGGGGGTCCTCTAACGAATCCAAGCATTTAGAACCGTTTTTGACCCTTCTAAGACACTTTTTAAATTGAAAAAAGAAACATCGTTAAGTGAAGCAGGGGACCTAAAATCGCATTCGTTATGCGAAGCATGGTCCCAAACTTCGCTAAGCGAAAATCGCCCATAGGAAACATCATTATACGGTGCATATTATTTTCTAAAAAAACACATCGTTATGCAAATTCATCGCTAAACGAGGCAATCGTTAAGCGTGGCACCACTGTATTTAGTTTCTCCACAGTGTTGTAAGTCCTGTGATATTCTTCATTTTAAAAATGTATGTAGTTTGCTCAGAATTTCTTTATATAAAGCAGGTGCTGCAAATCAACTTTAAATGTTGCTTATAATTTTATTTTTAAGGCATCAAGATTACGTGAAGAAGCTCATAACATGGGAAGTGTTCATATGTCTGAAATTTGTACTGAATTAAAAAACTTAAGATCCTTAGTTCGTGTATGTGAAATTCAAGCTACTTTGCGTGAGCAAAGGTAAGACTTCATTCTGGACGCATCAGCCTAATTTCCTAAACCTTCAGCTGTTTTGGTTGCATAACTTTGATAAAATGACAGCTACTGAGCTACATTCCCTAGTGTTTAGTCAGGGGCTGGAAAGTTTGACAGCTTAACATACAGGATGATGCTGACTTAAACAGGCATAATACCTCCCTCCACAGCCATTGAACTACTGAAGGTATCCTTGTGTGCTCCTGGATCTTGAACAATTATTTAGCCCATTATGTGTACCATTAAGGTAGGTCAGCCATTTCTAGGCCCAGTAATTTTGTCCTTTTTGTAAAATAAAAGCATATACACTATTTCACAGTATTTTCTATCAACCTGTTGTAGATTGAATAACTAACTTACAAATATGCATGTCTTTTGTTAAAGTACTAATTTTGAATTCTAAATGCTTGTCTGAAAATAAGCTTGACATGCCACTTACTTTGTTACTAAATGTTTTCTTTTCTTTTGTAGGATACTATTTTTGAGACAACAAATTAAAGAACTTGAAAAACTAAAGAATCAGAATTCCTTCATGGTGTGAAAAGTTGTGAATAATTGCACATGGGTTTTGAGTACGGAAACTATAAAACTGGTTGCCCAGTCTTAACATTTTTGAGCTGCATATGAGTAGACTTTGGACCGTTGAGTTGGGCAAAACAAAATGACATGGGAAAGGGGACGAGGGGAGTCACTCATGGGAAGGATACAAGGAGGATTTGTAAAACCCTTGAAATGTAGATTTCTTGTAGATGTATTCTTCACGTTGTAAATATGTTTTGTAGAGTGAAGCCATGGGAAGCCATGTGTATCAGAGCTTAGACATCCAAAACTAATCAATGCTGAGGTGGCTAAATACCTAGCCTTTTACATGTAAACCTGTCTGCAAAATTAGCTCTCTTTTTTTAGTTAATTTATCATTCAGAAATCTTGCATTTCTTGAAATTCAATGCAAGCGCCAGGCGATCTGTGTCTCAAGGCTGCAACAGTTTGAAACAGTTTGGGTAATGTACAAAAATATCATGAAACAACTGTTTCCACACTTGCACCAAATCAAGAGCAGTGCTTTTCCATTTCTGTTTTACAGAGCTGTGTTTTTCATTTTCTGTGTTCATTTTCCCCTTTAAATCCTAGATCTGATTTTATCAGTTTTTTAATTCTTCTAATTTCCTCCTTTCCTAAGGCACTGTTGCTATGGCACTTTTCTATAATCTTTTCATTCCTGTGTACAGTAGCTTAAAATTGCAGTGATTGAGCATAACCCACTTGTTTGTATAAATTATTGAAATGTATTTCCATTTGCACCCTGTAAGAATGAACTGGTAATACTGCTGGGCATGTGTGCTTGAAAGTACATCCCTTTCTCAGATTATACGGAAACAGCCCAATGAACATGTCAACATGGTGTGGGAGGGAAAGAGGAAAAAAAAGCTAGCCAGATGTGAATTGTATCTGTTGTAATAAACATGTTTAAAACAAACAAAAAAACACACACACTGGTTTTCATTTCCTTTGGTCAGTACATACTAGAATCTGGACACTCTGGGGGGATTCTTTATCAGAGCTGTTCTTGTTGAATACTTTTCTATTGCAAATACATCCTCAAGGGAGGTTTCGTTTTAAAAATTGTAAACAGGAAATTGTGTATAAAATATTTAATGATATTCAACAAGGATCAGTGACACCTTCCCAACAGTTGTCATATGTTAACTCCTGGTTTTACCTGTCTTGCTATTATGACATTTCATTTCAAAGGATGTTTGTGTTGTAGCTAACTGTTCAAGTCTGGTGCTGACTGCTGTTCTTAGCCATCACAAAACGCTGACTTTGTGTAATTGGAGTATCTCACTGTTTGAAAATGGTGGGAAGGCTCAGCTTTGTATATTGTTTCCTAAAGTATATTAAAAATAAAAAAGAAACTATTGCTACTACAAAATAAACTTGGGTTTTCTTTCCAAAAAGGTGTTAGTCATAACTTGATGCTACAGATCTTTCTACATATCTAAAATCTGCCTACTTGAAATTCGAGGTAGAGCAAGTAGGTGACTATTGTATTGCTATGTTGCTGTTCATGTGTTGACTTCAGCTCATTCAATGCACTGAGTGTGCTTATCAGTAGGTTTCCTACAGAATCCTGACTTTTGATACTTAAGAATGCCTTCTAGTTAGGCCTGTGACTCTGTTGCCTTTTGTTGAGTTATCCTGTACCTATGTCTTTCTCCTTTGCATAACAGCGTACTATAAAACAGCAGTGTTGTCTTGAAATATTTAAACAAATGCTTGTGAAACTCCCATTTCTGCTTTTGTGCTGTTTGTTAGAAACAGCAATCCTTATTTTCCTCAGTTTTTGCACTGTGCAATAAAGATGTTGACTGACATTACATCTATGATTAAAAGTTCGTTCTTGAATAAAGTCCACTGTGAGAATCCATTCATTCTCTGAAATAAAAAGAATGAATCCACCTGACCCATCTAGTCAGCTGAAGACATTTTTACTTGCACAGGCCAACCAAGCAAATGGCTATTTAAATGTCTTAAAACATGTTAACAGACGAGTCTTGTAAAGAAAACTTGCAGTTTTCAAGAGTTTTGGACTGATGAACTAACTGGCAAAGAACTACCTTACTTTGTATCTTCTTATGGATAGACTTGCCATTTTCCAAGCATTGGATCTGCTCTGCCTCTCAGTGGTACTTGGCTGGACTGCCTTCTGTTGTTTCAGAAGAAGGTTCTGTAGTCACAGCTGTTTGTGGCTTCTGTCTTCTGAAACTGATTTCTATGTGAGAAATAAAATTGAATAAAATATGCTGTTCTAAAAATAGTGGATATTTAAAATTTAAAACCCTGCTGTCCACTCATACAGGAACAGTTTGTGTTGCTTTTCTTGTTGTATGTTAAACGTCTGTCTAGTCTGAAATATTCTTCCTGCTATCTCAAATGATATTCGGAATAGAGCTCTTAGGCTAAATGAATCTTTTGAAATGACCCGTGTATAGTGTTTTATACTGAAATGCTTAAGAGATTGTAAGGTACTTAGCACTTCTTTTGTTCTGTTACTTGAATAGATTAGCTTTGGTCAGATTAAAAATTGTTTACTTGTTAGAGAGTGCTCTTGGAAGGAAATTTGTAACCCAAAACAAAGTTGTATGTGAAGGCAGCTATATGCAGACAAAGGTCTTAATTGCTCCCAAATGTTCCCTCTCTGTGTGTGGGTGGCACGCAGGTACACGTGCATCTTTCAACTGGCTGCTCAGATGTGTCAAATTCTTAGTTTGTCCCCTCCCTCATTAAAATATTCTTTCTCTAATGTTGCTGCCTAGAACAAATGATGTAAGTAGGTGAATGATGAGAAATCATTTGGAAATATAAGCATGTTAATTTTTAAAAAGCTGCTTCACAGAGTCCTTTTCCCAAATGCAGACTGCAAATGGAATTAAATTCACATTTACTCACATTAAAATTAGACCCATTTATGTAATAAAGGTAAAGGTTCCCCTTGACAATTTGTCCAGTTGTGTCCCACTCTAGGGGGCAGTGCTCATTTCTGTTTCCAACCCATAGAGCTAGCGTTTGTCTGAAGACAATCTTCCATGGTCACGTGGCCAGTGTGACTAGACACAAAACGCCGTTGCCTTCCCACCGTGGTGGACCTATTTACTCGCATTTTGCATGCCTTCGAACCGCTAGGTTGGTGGGAGATGGGACAAGTGACGGAGGCTCACTCCGTCACGTGGATTCGATCTTACGACTGCAGGTCTTCTGACCTTGCAGCACAGAGGCTTCTGTGGTTTAACCCGCAGCGCCACCACGTCCCATTGGTTTATGTAATGCTTTAAGTAAAAGCAGATCTGGATAAAACCCATAGTATGGTGTGTGCACTTTATCACAGTGGTAGTTCACTTAATACATTCCTGCCTGGGCAGGTTGATTACTCTTGGAACCAGACTGGAATTGATGGATTTGTTGAAATAAAACTGATCAGAATCATCCTTTTCCATTAAAATCCAATGTTTGTAATAGATCTTGTATGTTGCTTCTTGAATCGTTTAATTCCATTAATATCAATGGTAGACGCAGACAGTTGTGTATAACTTTGGGGAGTTCTGTCCAAGTGGCACATGTTCAGACATCCTACTCCCTTGCAAAGTGTCATTTCACACACAAAGGATTTTATAGGCAATTTAAGATGGTAACTCCTCAGAACTGCATTAATTATGATTTGAAGGAGATGCCTTGTTTTATGGGTCCTACTTAGCTGATGTGCTTTCCATCCAAATGGCATATTTTCAAACATTCTCTTACTCCTTCAAAGCGTTGGACTCAACTGACTACGGACAGGGCAGATTGAAAAGGAGAGTTCTCGTACAGGCAGCTGAAGGATTCATACAGACCAAACTCAAGACTAAAGTTTCCAGTTGGTCAGTTTGTTGTGCACACTATTTATAGCATTTTAACAAATGGTACCTATATCTGCTGCTTCAAAATGTTAGTTTGTCTAGATATTAGTGAAAAGAAGCACAGCTCAGTTGTTTAGGGGGGAAATAACCCAACCATTATTTTGAAGACAAACTAATATTTTAGCTGGAAGGCCTGACCTTCATATAGGTCTTCAATTTTAGGAAGTGGCATTGTGGATATCAAGAAATGGGTGTAGGAACCAGCTTCAGTGATGCTAGAATACCAGTAGAGGTTGGAATCGCTGGTGTAATAGTGAGCTCTAAACCTCTTAGTATTCATCTTGACAAGCTTTATACTGTAGTCACTTAGCTAAAGCAAGTGAAGTGTGACACCTAGAGGCCTGAGTCAAATGAGGGGAAAAAGATGAACAATGGGCAATGAAAGAACTGAAATGCCAGGGGAAGGAGCAGTGCTTCTGAGTTATATGCAGGGCTGGATAGCTTAAAATAAAGCAGGCTTGGGGCTAGATTACCATCAGTGAGACCAGCATCCAAAATACAAATAAACCATAAATATGCAAGATATTCCAAGGACCTGCATTACTGTCACCCTAAAAGCATAAATATAAAATAACTACAAGTTTAGTAACATAGTACTGAATATGTTCACCTCTTGGAAGATGGTTGCAGTTAACCAAAACTACGTAAATTTACTAAAACTCTTCATTAATTTTGCAAGTGGCTGCACAAAGGTTGTCACAGTAAACAGCATGCATATGCTTTTGAATGTCTAGGAGATAACCTTAAACAAGGTTCAATTTTTAAAAATCTGAATGTCAAGACGAAAAGACTAATGCAAAAGAACATAAGTTTCTGTTCCTCCAGAATTATAAGAGCATTTTAAACTCCCTCCTGGACTGCTCAATATTTAGCTGGGAAATTTTTTTAACTCTATGGTACTTTTGTTTTGAAAGTAAATACTGTATTGTATTCGCGAAGGCTTTCACGGCCGGGATCTAATGGTTGTGGGTTTTTCGGGCTCTTTCGGGCCGTGTTCTGAAGGTTGTTCTTCCTAACGTTTCACCAGTCTCTGTGGCCGGCATCTTCAGAGGACAGCCCAAAGCTGTCATACTTTGGGCACATCATAAGGTGACACAACTGGCTTGAGAGGACAATAATGCCAGGAAAGGGGAAGAGGAAGAACAAATATGAGATGTGTTGATTCAATAAAGGAAGCTATGATATATGATGAGCAGGACCTGTGGATGTCACTAATGCATAGGGTCACCCTAAGTCAAAAGCAACTTGATGGCAGGTAACAACAACGTGCACTATGTGCTTTGTTTTTGGCACAGTGCAGTGCTTTTTGTCTTCCTTGTGCGCCACCTCAGTTATGGCTGTGCTTGCTTTTCGGTAATGTAGAGCATCAATTTTCTTGCAGTCGGCAAGAAGATTGCAGTCCCAAGAGTTGACTGCCTAGCTCCATGAGATACAACTTCAAAGGGCTGGTCCAAGAAGACAAGGGAGGGGGACTTGCATGTATTCCCAAGTGATGGCGCAAGGGTGAACTATAACATTTCATTGGTGATAAGCACCAGAATCCACTAGATGGCAGTAGTACACCAACAAATGAGATTCCCACTATTCTGCCCCTACTCTGAGCATATTGGAGGACAAGAGGACTCCTTTCCTCTGGATTGTGTATCTCGGTCTTTTGATACTTCGTCTACTCCCGATCTCTTTTACGTTTCCTTCTGACCTGATGCTCTTGTCAAATACCCCAAGGAGTATGTGTGTGAATGCCTACGTCTGTGCCTGTATATCTATGAATGCTGCTCTGCTGGCCAGCCTCCCTGTGTGTATGTGAACTGCTGATTTTGCCCTTGGTTTTGCTTATCACCTCTGGCTATGCCCACCATTGGCTGCTGTGCCTTCCACCCCACTAGCCACAACGGGGCATCAGACACCACTGCTGATAGCCACTTTCAGGTGTACTCTTCCTTCCCTTTGGAAATACAGTACTGAATGGAGCAGAAGTGAAGATAAAAGATGTCTGTGTGAAATCTTCTGAGACATCCCAAGGAGTGGTTTCGTTCACCACATATAACATTGTTGTTATGTGCTTTAAGGTTGCTTCCAACTTACAGCAACCTATGAATTAGTGACCTCCAAAAGATCCTATCATTAACAGCCCTGCTCAATTCTTGTCAACTCAAGAACCTGGCTTCCTTTACTGATTCAATCCATCTCATATTTGATCTCTCTCTTTTCCTGCTTCTCTCAGTTTTCACAAGAGCATCCTGGTCTTTTCCAGTGAACCTTGGCTTCTCATGGTCTGCCTCAGTCATCTTTTTTCTAAGAGGAGAGTTCAAGTTTAGCTGGATCTAGTATCTCTTTACTGGTATTCCTTCCACCAATTCTACCTCCTCATTTGTCTGAAATCTTTTTAAATATTTGTATATTTACTTCTCTTAGCTTTTAAATACTGTTTTGGTGATGTAAGCCGCCTTGGGACCTTTTGGGAAGAAAGGTGGCATAGAAATATTTTAAATAAATGAATAATAAATAAATCTCTAGCCACATGTTGTGATTTCTGGCTGGCATTCACTATTGGTTCATCCTGCATTCATAGATGTAAAACATACAAGGAAGATACAAGGAAGGTATGGCCAATGAGGATTCTAGAATCCTCTAGATTCTATCTTCCTTGTATGTTTTACATCTATGAATGCAGGATGAACCAATATCTACTTGTCTATCTCTTTAAAATATGTATATGCCACCTTTCTCCTAAAGAATCAAAGGTGGCTTACAATGTTAAAAGAAACAAACTTTTCCAACCTCTCCTTAAGCTTCACATGGGAAAACACCCTCAAAGAGTTTTAAACTGGTTCCTGTTGAATCCTCACATTGTCCCACACTTTCACTTTCAGACTTCTTAAGAAAGTCTGAAACTCAACAAAGCCTGACTCCCAGCACTGAAAAATACAGCCTGCAAAAAGGTCAACGAACTCTACTCAGCCACAAGGACCGGTGATCACTGCACACAAAACACTAGCTAACAACACTGACCAATCAGAGGGACAGATCATCTCCCCCCCTTATCCCAAAAATACGCCCATAACAAAAAATACCCTGATCACCATAATCTCCCAATCTCCTGAAAAGGACAAAAAGCTGATCCCACAGCTACAGATACTCAACTATCCCACACACTACACCAGAATACAGACAGAGTTCTAACCCCTGTTCTCTAAAGATGCCGGCCACAGAGAGTGGCAAAACGTTAGGAAGAAAAACCTCCCGAGCACGTCCAAACAGCTTGAAAAACCTACAACAACCATTGGATCCTGGCCGTGAAAGCCTTTGAGAATACTGT